AGGATGATGAATGCATTAAAAAAACCTCTTCATCTTTTTAATGTTTTTGTATTATTGAGCAGACCAATTAAACCTAATCTCCATCCAACCTTAGGATCTAAAGTAGAGAAATATATAGTATCTTTTTTAAAATCTTGAAAGTTAGGAAGTTTCACATATCCAATAAGCATTTATTTGGAATTACAATACTGCATAGAATTAATCTAGTAGAGACAAAGATACCAAAAAAAAAAAACACAAATAATTAAAATATAAAATCTGTAAAACTCTATAAAAGCTTCATGCACTGAGGCTCTGAGAGGTGAGGTAAGCCATGCCTAAAAGTGAGAGATAGCAAATATTTAAGAAGAAGAATGCTTGTTCTAAGACATGAAGCGTTTGAGAATTCTCCAATAGACGTATGGATAGACAGATGGAGCAGACCACTATTAAAAGAGAGAAGAAAGGCACCCAGAGATAATAAGGCCAGAGAAGCAAACAAACGTGAACCAGTAATTTATGGGATCAAGCATGACTCTCAGATCTCAGTGAGAGCTTTCCAGAGAAGGAACAGGAATTTGTCATTTTTAAGGAGTATGAGGCATTCAGTTTCTAATATGCTGAGATTTGACATTTTTTAGAGACCTTAATTGTAGCTGCTCTTCTGTAGGAGACAGCAAGTTATCAGAACACTGGAGATAGTACCCAATACAAAGGACTCCAACACCACCAGAGAAATGAGGAAAAAACCAAAGAGAATAAAATTAAGATAGGAGAACCAGATGCAACAATAAGGAAATAAAAGAACTGACAGACATGTCTCTTACATGAAAAGACTAGCCAAAGAAGATGAAAATCAAGACCCGGAAAGAGGCATCACTCTATCTATAGCAAAACAGAAATGCCAATTAGAGGAAATCATCAACGTCATAGGTTATAAAGAGGATCTATTATTAAAAAGCCATTTTAGCTGGGTATGGTGGCACACACTTTTAATACCAGCACTAGGGGGCAGAAGCAGGTGGATCTCTGTGAGACAGGCCAACCTGGTCTACATAGCAAGTTCCAGGCCAGCTGGGGCTACAGGGAGACCCAGTCTCAAAAACAT